ATAACACCGCACCCCGAAACTCCGGATGATCTCTCCCAACGGCTTCATGTAGATGTTAAATAACATGGGGGACAATATTGAGCCCTGCGGAACCCCACAAGACAATGGTTGTGAGGTAGAGCAGTTGTCCCCCAGCAACACCTTCTGAGTACGATCCTCTAGGAAGGACCTGAGCCACTGCAGAACAGTGCCTCCCAGGCCCATCCCCGCGAGGCGTCCCAGAAGGACACCGTGGTCGACGGTATCGAAGGCCGCTGAGAGGTCCAGCAGAACTAACAGGGACACACTCCCCCTGTCTAGCTCCCTGCGCAGATCATCCACTAAGGCGACCAAGGCTGTCTCGGTACCATGTCCTGGCCTGAAACCAGACTGTGCCGGATCTAGATAATCAGTGTCTACCAAGAATACCTGGAGTTGTGAGGCCACCACACGTTCCAGGACTTTGCCCAAAAAGGGGAGATTGGAAACAGGCCGATAGTTGACGAATTGAGTGGGATCCAGTGATGGTTTCTTCAACAGCGGTTTTATCACAGCTTGTTTTAAGCTGGCTGGAATTTTGCCTTCCCGAAGGGAGGCATTAACCACCACCTTCACCCACTCGGCCAATCCCCCTCTGGCCTCCTTTAGAAGCCAGGATGGGCAGGGGTCTAGGATGCATGTGGTTGCCCTCATTCCTCCAAGTATCTTGTCCACATCCTCAGGTTTCACCAATTGAAATGAATCCAACAAAATCGGATAAGCAGATGCTCATGTTACATCCTCTGAGACTGCCGTTAACATGGTGTCCAGGTCAGAACGGATCAAAGCGACTTTGTCCGCAAAGAACCGAGCAAATGCTTCACAGCGGGCCGTCGAGTTGTCAGGGTTCCCATCCGGGGTGGTGGGATTTAATAGACCTCTGACAACTCGAAACAGCTCCGCCGGACGGTTCTTTGCGGATGCAATATTGGCCGCAAAAAAGGATTTCTTTGCTGCCTTTATTGCCACGGCGTATGCCCTTAGAAGGGCAACAAACCGTGTTCGATTTAACTTGCTCGGGTCCGAATGCCACACGCGCTCTAGTCTCCTCTTTCTTCGCTTCATTGCTGCCAGATCCTCGTTAAACCAAGGGGCTGGTTTAGCTCGGCTACTTGAGAGGGGACGTTCTGGAGCAATCGTGTCTATTGCCCTGGTCATCTCCCCGTCCCCGAGGGACACCAGGGCATCAACAGGATCACCAACCGAGGATAACAAAAATGGTTGATTTCTGAAATGGTTTTATTTCAAAACTGAAATTTACTAGTCTATGTAAGCCCATAAATTTAGACCTTGATAGAAAACTTTGAACATTACTTTCCTCCTACAAATTCAAACTATTAAGAAAAATCAGTTTCACAGGAAGACCCCTCTAGTAGGTGAATTTGTTAAAATGACTACTGGCTTGCCTAACTGGCAATCTATATTGAAAAATGTCAATGAGGATATGAAATGCAAGACAAAGGTACCCCAAGGGAGGAAGTCCACAATGATGAATGGAAGTCTTCTGCATAGATAGTGCATGTTTGTTTGGATTGCATAGAAATGTCTCAGACAATTAAGACAAGTTCAATAATGACCTTGTCCAGAGGGCAGATGTTTCTTACACTGCAGTTTATTCACAGGCTCACTCATAACAGAAAGGAGGCAGGGGGTACATTTAGATAAGCCACAACTAAGTGACAGTGACAATTCAGATGTGAATTACAAGGTTTTAATTACACAGAGATGAGCAGATGACAGGAGAAATCGCAAGCTTGAATGCCTCATCATCTTCTTTGTAAGCCTATGTTGTAATTAGGGCTGCATTCGGTTGCTTGACCATTAAATAAAAAAACTTGAATGGGCCAGGGAGTGCAGCAATCCACTTCAAAACCTAATGTCTGAGCTGGTGATTGCTACTATAAAGTCATTAATTATAGCAAAAAAGAAAACAGTTGAAACAAAGAGGGGTGATGACATTATCATCTTGTGTAAGAAAATAACACATTGGCTTTCTATTCATTTGCATAGTCTCTGTGCTAATTTTTGTATAAAGTGTTTAAAAATATATATGCAGAGCAGAGTGGAAATAGATTCCGCACTCCCCCCCCCCCAAATTTCAGTTTCAGACAAATGGTGGAGAAGTGGGATTATAAGGACTTAACCCCCCCCCCCCCCCCCCACACACACACACACACACTTTAACATGGCTTTTGTTGTACTATTTGTAGGTGGATGGTTTTATCTATAGTTGGGGCTAAAAGTAACGTACTCATACAATGCTATTATACTATTCCCTATGAAGGTTGGGTATATAATAACACGACAGAACCGTCTGTGTGTGTGTGTGTGGGGGGGGGGGGTCCCTTTTATTAACTATAGTAGAATTGCTTATTATGTGAGATCATTGAATGTGGTTTCATGTTTCTCTAGCATTGCCTAGAGAAGTGTTCTCTCTATTCCTCCACTGTGATTCTATGATCAACTTCTACCTGAGGTTCTGTGTGAAATTTTGCTGGAAGGTGATGATGGAGAGAAAACACTTATCTGGGCATCTGTAGGCTCCTCAGTCCAATTCTATGGTGTGCTCTGGCTGGAAGCCCAAAACTTTATTCATTTCAACTAAGAAAACTAGGGGTTCAGATTAAACATGAAAATCTTAGTAGGGTCCAGGAACAGATAACTTGCATAATATTCAGGCCTACTGTATTTCACAATATGGAAAGTGTCATCTTCTTTATTACATTTGTACTGTGCATTTTCCAGTAAGGGTGGGGGGGGGGGGAATTCACAGTTGTGCAAAGCTATCATTAGAACAAACATGTGTGTGAGCTTTCAAGTTCTCTAGCACTCTTCATTAAACAATTTAATCAACTTTCCTTGGTTTATAATGCAAAATGCAACCAACAGGCTTGCTGAATACTGCTAATACGTAACAAACATTAAAACATTCCATGACAGTTTCAACTTAGGGTCACCATCAGTTGGAAACAACTTGAAGGCACACAACAAGAAGAATGCAAGCACAACAGTACAATGTGATACAAATTTCCAAATGTACATGAATGCACCAACCCCAAAAGCTTTACCTTGCGCTTATCTGTGATTGACTTATCACTTGCTTTCTAGAAAGCTTATAGTTTCACTTATTCTGCATGTACATAAAGTATTCTGCTACATGAAATCATTTGAAAACACTGCTTCTGAGACAAAGTTTAGAAATGCAATGATGCTGTTTACAATCTACTACATTAACTCGATATCGGAGTGCCCAAAGACAATGCATTAATATCTCTCACTAGAGGGCAGCAAAAGTTCAAGCAGGTACATTTTCCATGTCCTTCCTCTTTCTACATATGTGGCCATAGTTGACTTAAAAAAAGCATCTAATAGCACACATTATTGTTTTGATTATATCTAAAGTAGTTAACAAATCTTTATCTAACCTTGGTGTTAACAACTATCATTGGCTCCCTGTCTTCCTTTGCCACAAACCATTACTTACTGGTTAGAAAAAGACTTCATGAGAGCCTCAAAGGAGGAGTAATTTCTCCATATTTTAGCTCCTTGGAGCTATTTAAGCCCTGGAGATTTTTTTCTTACCAAAAAAGTAAATCACATTCCTAGACACAGAGCAGATGATGGTTGAAGGGGCCACAAACCATAGAGTGCAGTTTGGGTTCCTTTAGACAAAAAGTACTATATTTCCAATTAGACCATTCTTAGGTGAAAGGAGTATTTTCAGGAACCTTGATTCCATATGAAATCTCTTAGAAAACCTCTATATTCAGCAGTCACTATCAAATACATCATTTTTCGGCAACGTTTATAAAATGACATCTAGTTTCCAGTTATCAAGTGTGTATCCAATGATCCTTGAAATTAAATTTAAATCATGTACATTCAGTACACTTCACTCTTGCTACAGATAGTAAGGGAGAGGAGGGACTAGGAGGCAACAGGCTTATTTATCATAGCAAGACACTGGAGACACCCCAATTGATTGTTTTTTTTTATTCCTGTTAATCAAAACTGGCTTTCAGTTCAGTGGTTTATGTTTAAGTCAAATTTTCCTAGGTCTGATGATGTCTCCTAAATAACAAAACAAAAATAACACATATGCACTGGTGCTGAGCTTTTCATTCAAATAATTTGTGTGCATGCTAATGAGAAAGGTTATAAAACAACAAAAGAATTTGCTTCAATTATGCTGTGCCAAAAATATACACTGCATGGTTGTAGTCAACTGATTTCAAGCAGTAAATATGCTACACATAAATTGTCAGTGCTTCATTTATATTTTTCTCTAGAAACAAAATATATGAGATAAGAGTTCATAATAATGCTAACATGTGCGAAGAATTGCTTGAAACTTCTTAAATGTCACCTGTGAAGAATACAATAAGACCCTCATAACCACAGAACTCATATTTGTGGTTTTACCTATCTGTGAGAGCAAAATGATCTCTCTGGAAATTTGATAGGTCTTCCAGGCAATTTAATGGCTTTCAGTCAGACCCACTAACTTTGATTTGGCCAGAAACATATCTTTTTGTCGATAGGGACTTAAGAGTGACTTAAAATGGTTGCAACCGGCTCTTCATAATCCTGTTTTCTAACAGAGGGCAATATGAGGGAGACACACAACAAAGAAATTGAGTTAAGGATGTGCTTATCCAGTCTTAGTCAGAACCTTTCCCTTCAATCCCACCTGCAAAGCTGTTTTCCTTTCTCTCATGGGTTCCCAAACAGGTTTCTTGTTGGAAACTTTAGAAAAGCACAAGGGAGGAGAACTTCTGGGGAACATGTTTCCAAGCAAAAGAGCCCAAGTGGATTATGGGAAGAAAGCAGAGCAAATAAAAGCATGCAAGGTGGCATGCAAGTTATATTTCAGCTTCAACAAAAGTAAGCTCATGTTTAAAATTGCTTCCCTTTGACTGAGTTTGTTATGCCCTGTATTTACAATACATCAGTCAGAATATTATGTGCATCAATTCACATACCTTTCTCATTGCTGTTTGATAGAAGGGATGGTGGACTTGTGGGTTTGGATTTGTCGTAGTTGTTAAAGCTCTGGCTGCGCCGGTTGTTGGCACTAATTGGACCACGGGTTTTTGCTTCGCTGCCTGCAGCTGAAACCCTTGTGGTTGGACCTGGAAGTCTATTTTCAAGGTAAAAAGAAAGAAGCAAATGTTTGCCAGATAATACAAAGAAATGCAAACTAAATTCATAACAAATTAGGCACAGGAGAAAGGAACACCTCCTATAAAAGCCAACTGCCCTGGTGAAGAGCTCCGTCTATCCCTCTGCTCACCTGCAGCTCCAGGCCAATGGCTTTTGCAATCAATTCAACTGAAAGTACTGACTCCTTCAAAGAATGTACAAGGACTGTTCTGTTTTACTGTGGCCAAACTATAATTTTTTTCAATTATTTGTATACTGGACCTTTTACATAGTCAATTAATCACGGCCTTAAAATTACTAAATAGTAATCCAGAATGACTATGCTTCAAGCCTGATGACATTTTAAAGGCAGTTTAGAATAGATCAAAATCTTCTACAAATTTATTGACCCAACTATGTTTATGTGCATTGTAAACATAGATAATGAAACACCAGAAAGCCTTAAAAATATGAGTAGGACCCACTGTTAGTATTTGAGCTAATACTAGATCTATATTCCTACCCCAAAGTCAAAGATTGCAGAGTTAAGATATAGGACTCTAGACTGTAGGAATGCATGATATTCTTAAGAATTAATACTTGCAAAACACCTTGGATTCAGCAGAGCTCAGTCCCTGTTAAATTTGCTGAATATTAAAATGTGGTTCACTGTGCTATGCTTTAGTTGTAAGATTTAAAAATGAAGAAGATCATCCTGGATAGAGCCCATCATACTAATGCTTATCTTACAATGACTAGCACAGATATGCAAGTGATTTAATGTAAAGTAATAATGTTTTACATATATTCTCCTAATATGAAATTTTGTTTTTTTTCTTTTAATTTCTCAACATAGGACTCAAAAGTGCTTGAAATAATCCAGAAAATTAACAGGTTAAAACCAATAACTCTTTTTATTAGTATGCAGTTTCTTTGTTGACAATACTGTCAACTAACTAGCAACACTACAAACCTTTGTTACTCCAATTGCACCTTTGTGGCTGGGAAGAAAAGGTAGTTAACAATGCCTTTTCACACACACACACAAAATCACAGATTAAGCATAGAAAGGAAAACTATGGGGAAAGGAAACATATAAGTCTTGGCAGATACATGCACATGCTTATAAAGCTGGAACATTTGAGCACAACTTAAAAATATATTGTTCCTCATTAACATAAAACACTTAAAATGGAGAATTATATCACACTTGCTTTCTTGTTTCCTTAAAGATAAACACCTCAGTTCCCAAACACTTGAAAAAAAGAAACAAATGAATAGCATTAAGAGGAAAACAAAAGCCATCATCACAAACACATAGAAACAAACTGGAACACAAAGAATCAAGGAAAAGGTTAAGGAAGATAAGTAAGTTTTATGTTGTTGTGAGAGATGCAGCACTGATAAGGCAAGAACTTTTATGCAAGCTTCGTTATCACGTTCCAACAAGGTAGTACTTGATAACTACCGAGCAGAAGTGGGGAGCTTATTTTTCTGTTAAGGATCAAACTCCCTCAGGAATCATATGATCACAACGGATTGGGCTTAAGCCAATGATGGACAGGGCCCAGGGATTTAAAAAATATGCTAATTCCATTCTCTTCGCCCTCATCTTTTCTACTTAAAAGTCACTTTTGTAGAGACCTGACCTGATCAGCTACAGAGGTCCTTTGAATCTAGGCTAAGAGCCTTTTGAGACCAGAGTCAAGGCCCAAAGATGGTCATAGCCCCACACATTTTCTTCAATTTCCTGTGTAGAGGTATAATTATTCTAGTCTAGAAGGAGCTGCTACAATTATCTCCTGGAATCTTGCAGGGATGTGGATAGCTATACCTGCAGCAAGTGAAATTGGTGGCTCTATTGGGAGATAAGGCCCAGCAACACAAGACACATGCATCTACTTTCAGCATATAATAAATAAAGCATGAGGTTTTCTCAGGAAAACTGTCTTGGATGAGGGACACACAGGAGATGTATCTCAGTCACTTTCTAAACACAGGACAGAGATATCTAGAGGAATATGATTAATACTCATTCTTTGAGTTTGGAACTACAGAATTGATTTAAAACTTATCCCCATATTATTTTAAGGATTATGAGGAACAAGAGCAGGAGTTTCAATCCTCAGAGAATGTGCAAGTGAATGTAGAAGATTCAGTATATGGCATGATCACTGCCAATCCTCAGAGAAGATGTGTGATGGTGGTAGAGGACCCTCAGTCAAGGGAACAGAAGCAGTTACTTGCAGATCTGCATAGATGTTTTGACGTGTTCTGTCTCCTTAAGGCAAAAATTCAGATGAAACATAGAGGCTGATGAGACTCATCGAGCCCCCCTCCCTCTTTTTTGTCCATGTGGGAACCAATGAAATTGCAAGGAATAACCTTCAGGATGCCATAAGGAGTTATGGGCTCTGGGTAGGAATCTAAAGGGCCTTGATGCACAGATAATTATTTTGTCTCTTCTCACAGAGGAAAGACATAGTCCAGGAAGGGAGAGAAAAATAGTGGAGGTAAATAACTGGTATTGCAGTGGCATCCATTCTGATGAGCATTTTAAAAATATGTCAGCTTTGTCTATTCACAATGAAATTCTGAGCAAAGGACCCTATATTTTCCACCTCAAGAAAAAAAGACGCTCGGAAAAGTTCAAGTTAATTATAGACAAAAATGTAGAATTGTGTACCAATGGTGTCAAGCAAATTTGCATCTACTCCTTTCCTGATATGTGTTCTTCAATATTGTAAATCTCCAATGTTATGCCCAAAGTGGCTCTACAGTTGATCCTAAACCTATTGATCCACACAGAATAATATGTTTAACTATAGAGAAATAGTGTCAACCCAAAACACAGTCCCTTGAAGCATAGTGGAAGCTGGTGCTTCTTCCTCAGTCCAGTGTAGAAAACAGTTAAAATGGCAATCCAACATTACTGGTATGGTATAGACTTTCCAATCCATCACATGCAAGCTGGTTTAAAGCATCTACGAATGCTCTGTGGTATCACAACTCTGCCCTCCAGTGGAGATGAAACAGTGGAGGGTTCACATCATTTTCCCTCTGCTTCACATGGCTCCTTACTCTCCCTAATGTTAGAGAGCATTATAGAACAGGCTGCACTTCTGGCCCCATCCCTGGCATCAAAGATGTTGCTGACTCTGCCCCAATAGGTCCCCATGCTGGCATGGACTTGTAAACTGGTGAAAACATGGATGAGCACATGGTCATGCAAAGACTTCCAGGAATGCCAATTGTAGCAGGATCGTGGTATGGAAAACTGTGCAGGAACTCCTGCTCACACATAGGTTGTATGATGTCAGATGTCCACATCACAGATTGAGGGGCAGCACTTGTCTGGGATTGTGGGTGGGATGTGCACCCTGCTTCATGCTAACTTTCTCATTTCATAGAGTAAATGGTGTCACATTCATAGAATTCATATGAAGGATGCTAATTTGATATTAAAGTTGCTTTCCATATTCGCTATTACTTAGAAATTCATAGAATCATAAGAGTTGGAAGAGACCTCATGGACCAACCAGTCCAACTCTCTGCCAAGAAGCAGGAAAATCACATTCAAAGCACCCCTGACAGATGGCCATCCAGCCTCTGATTAAAAGCATCCAAAAAAGGAGCCTCCACCACACTCGGGGCAGAGAGTTCCACTGCTGAACAGCTCTCACAGTCAGGGAGTTCTTCCTAATGTTCAGGTGGAATCTCCTTTCCGGTAGTTTGAAGTCATTGTTCTGCATGCTAGTCTCCAGGGCAGCAGAAAACAAGCTTGCTCCCTTCTCCCTATGACTTCCCCTCACATATACATGGCCCTCATCATGTCTCCTCTCAGCCTTCTCTTCTTCAGGCTAAACATTACCAGCTCTTTAAGCCGCTCCTCATGGGGCTTGTTCTCCAGACCCTTGATCATTTTAGTTACCCTCCTCTGGATACATTCCAGCTTGTCAATATCTCCCTTCAACTGTGTTGCCCACAACTGAACACAGAATTATTCATATTCACAAGACTTCACAAGAAACGAGTAACAAATTCAGAAGACATTGCTGTAAAATGCCCTGAAGCCACAAAAGATGATGAGGTATAGATATAAAAATACACATATACACAAAGCACAACACTACATGAGAAGAGTTCTTTCTGCTTTGGTAATTCTTAAAATAGTGGGTTTGAACTGAAGAGGAAGAATCGGTAAGGTGAGCCCTAAGACATGCAAACTGAGGTTATTGCAAGGAGGGTTATCCATGCTTTGCATTAGAGGAACAAACGCTAACCTAGAAGTCTTTTTCTGACCGAGAGTGAATCGGATGATTTTGCTTTGAGATGAGTCCCTGGGTGATGCACTGCACAACAAGAAAGAAAAAAAGTGGAAGATGCAAGTGAGTAAAGAAGAAACATTCACACATGAACCCAACATGAAGACAAAGAGTTTGTGAAAAAAGATTCAGAAAGAAGAGGGGAATAAATAAATAGCTCTCCATGACCCAATAAGCTGTTTACCTGCTCTTTTTTTGGGTTTATCAAAGCAGCAACAGTGACAGATGCAGCATATCCATGCAAATTTATTTCAAGCTCATAAGAAAAGATTCTTTAAAAACCCCATAGACCAGTGCTTCTCAACCTTGGGTCCCCAGATGTTTTTGGCCTACAACTCCCAGAAATCCCAGCCAGTTCACCAGCTGTTAGGATTTCTGGGAATTGTAGGCCAAAAATATCTGGGGACCCCAGGTTGAGAACCACTGCCATAGACAAATGTATTTTCAGTCTATATCAGGCATGGGCAAACGTCTGCCTTCAGGGGTTTTCGACTTCCAGCTCCCACAATTCCAAACAGCTAGTAGGCAGTTAGGAATTGTGGGACTTGAAGTTAAAAAACACCTGAAAGACCAAAGTTTGCCATGCCTGGCCTATATGTACATTATCAGAACAATGTAATTTCCACAGGATGCTAAAATCAGATATTCACTATGCCAGCAAGCACATTTCAATGATTTTCCTAACATGGCAGGTTGAACATGTTTTTTGCAGAGGAACATTAACTCTGCTATAGAGCATGTGAGTTGCACATAGATGGTTCAGGTTCAATCCTTGGTATTTCCAGGTAGAGCTAGACAAACTGTCGCCTTCCTTTGTATGTTGTTACAGTAACTAGATCTTTCCACATGAGGGCACTTCCCAATAAAAGGTACACCATGTAAAAGTGACTGAATTACTGCTTTGAATGCTCTTACCATTAGAAAAAAATATAGAGTAATTAAGTTTTGAAAATTTATTCATTATAGCTCAATATTTGTAATACCTACTTTAAAACATAAATGAAAAATATGAGTAATTTTGAATGGGAAAAAACAATGAAAATTTTATTTCTTATATTGTGTTGTCTGCCTAAAGGCACCAAAAATCCATCTGGTCTTGGAAGCTAAGCAGGGTCAGTTCTGGTTACTACTTTGATATGAGACTACTAAGGACTAGCCAAACTAACCACCTCTGAGTATTCCTTGGTTATGAATAACTTACAAAATTAATGTGTTTGCCATCAATGGACAAGCGGCTTGAGCTAACGTATATATACACTACTATGTTACAAAATTATGATATATTTTAGAAGGTCTATGGGTTACAGATATGATAACAAAAATAAGCTATTAATTCAGCAGCTTATATATATTTACAATTTCTGCAGTTAAGTCAGTGAACACTGTAAGACTGAATAATTAATTTATAACACAATTAAAATACAAAAAGGTCAGATATGTTTCTATATTAAAAGTGATATGCAAATGTGTCTTATGTAAATGTGGGATAGAATACAGATTAAGTATTCCTTACCATAATAATAATAATAGTAATAATAATAATAATAATAATAATAATAATAATAATAAATCTTTAAGAATAGCTGGATTTGCACATAGGCAAATAATGAGATAGTTTGGCTATGAGACCCAGATCTAAAGATGAAATTCATTTATGTTTCATATACAACTTATACATATAGCCTGAAGATAAATTTATGTAAAATTTTAATACATTTGTGCCTGAAACAAGGTTTGTGTATGCTGAATCATCAGAAAGCAAATGTGTCATTATCTCAGCCATCCATATGGACAATTTCAGATATTGGAGTATTTTGGAATTCTGGATAAGGGATGCTCAACCTGTATAGGATTTTTAGAATAAAAACATGATTGGAAGATAATGCCATAGTAATAGGGGCATCTATTTCCAGTGACCTAACATAGCAGAAATTATACATGGCAACTAAGTATCGTGACCCATAATAGATATAAGATCTTGGTCAGATCATTCACCAGAGTCACTGTATTCATTCACAATGAAAGCAATGGCCAGAATCCAATGGTATGACTGGAAATTCCCAAAAGTGCAAACAAGAGAGCGTGCTCTCTTCCTTATCCCATGCCTTAAAAGCTCTTTCCAGAAGAGTCAAAAAGCTTCTGGAGCAGGTGTTGATTGCTACAGATGGCTAAAAAGGCAAGAGGGAAGGAGAAACCTATGAAACTACCACAAGCACTACCCTCAAAAAGAGATATTATTGACTGAGCATAGAAATATAAAAAATCACAAGAGTGCTGTTTATGGAGCCAATATGCATGATGCAGGAAAGAAGGTCTTCCAAAATGTATGGTTAGTGATCCAGCACTTTCACCATTATCTTCTTGACAGATTCATCACATCACAGCTGCTTTGGAAAAAACACTCTTCCTGGTTTTTTTCCCTTACTTAAAAAAAAATAGCAGCAGTTTGCTATGATGAGGTGATTCAAGTGGGAAACACCATTGGGGTGTTTGCGTAGTGTAATAAATAATTATTTTCCTCAAGGCAGGTTCAGAATTGCTATCCTAGAGGGATTTGTCCCTACATTCTCCAAAGAAAACATTGGATGATAGTGTCTTGTATCCTCTATATCTCATGTAGCTATAGATTACCCACATATTTACAGTTTGACCTTATTAATACATCTATGGCTATGTCTGCAGCATAATTCAGACATAACTGTGTAAAGAATAACACTTAAGGGCCACATGCACCCAGAAGCAGGCATCCCCACTGATATTCCTAGCAGGAATATAATATACACGGGGATCTTGCAAACAGAGTTCCTTTTCCTAATCCATTATCCAATTACTAAGGTCACTCTTTGAAAGATTGAATTTAGTTAACCTTTCACCAATTTTTCCACAAAAAGCTGTTCAAAATGGATATTTTATTTCTATTACCTACTGCCAGACAGCTATATTTTGTTCCATCTCCATCCTAATGCCTTGATTGTAAAAGATTTTCAAATGATTTTCCAGAAAACTGGATGGCCTGTTTGCCAGATGCATACACTTCTAGCAGTAAGATGTTATTTTGGCATTGTGAAACATTATATTTAAGCAGGGGGAGAAATTTGCAGAAGACAACCCACCTGGACTGCATTTCTGGTTGTGCTTTTAGCTGAAGGTGTGGCGGTTGCTGAGGTTGTTGGCACTGGATCTGGGGTGAAGCTGGCATTGGTTGCTGGGACTGCTGCTGCTGGTGTGGTTGTTGCAGTTGCTGTTCTTGGAGTCCAACCTGGCAATGAGATGGAGACCCTACGTGCTGGGGAGATGTGGGGGGTGGCTGAGATGGGTGGTGTTGTGAATGCTGTTTCAGAGGCTGTTGCTGCTGTTGCTTGTACCGTGATAGACTGAAGAAAAGGCCTAAGATGGCCTTTAAATTCCCATTCCTGATTTCTGCAAGACAGTTTGGGGGGAAAGGCATTTATATCAGCACTCTTTGCTCATTTGGTAGACTTGATTGCTTGGACTTAATGCAGATTTCCTGCAATTTCTACCAAAGTTGACAAAAATGGGCATTGGCCAGTAAATTAAACAAAACAAAAGATAGGGAAGAACCTTGACATCTCTATTGTTAGACAGAATGTGGTGATAGTTGCCTCTAGGCTGCTTCAAATATACACATGTCTAATATTCTCAAAAATGGTACACATGTGCTTGTATGTGCTGCATGTAAAGAACAGTACCAATCAACACAGACTGTGAGTTCACACTGGAGGCTACTTCTGGGGGAAAAGAAAAAGTTTTTTAAAGAATTCACAAAGACCATGATCTGTCTTAGAAAATAAACTAGGGAAATCTTTGACATACCCCATTTTGAAAATGAAAATATTAGGGGGTCACAGCATCTCATCTTACCTGGCAGCCATGTAAAAAAAAAAAAGCCCAATTTATACTGGGTAAATAAAGAATTCTCCTCATTTTCAGAAACTTGGTGCGCTTCATTTAAGACAAACTCCAAATATTTGTCAGCAAGGTAGCGAGAATGATATGCATAACAACACAGTTGTTTAATATGGCAGTTAGAAATTCCAGTATAATTCACGTTGTGGTGATGTAAAACTTCAGCTTTACAGTTTAATCTTTCAAAATTTAGCCCAAACTCTGTAAATGGAGCAGCAAACTGTTCCTGCAGTTTGTTGAGTGCAGGCTTTAGCTCTTTAAAAGTAAGCCATAAACTATGCTTCAAAGAAGCCCTACAGATGTATTTCTTGTTCTCTTATCTCAGGAGATGGACTGAGGTAATTCACCTGGCGCCTTGCCACTGGACTTTGTACATAAAGGGCACATCTACCTCTTTGTGATTTGCCGATTAGTGCTGTCTGAATTACTTCCTCTTACTGCTCCCTTCTGTCTTGTGTGTCTGCTTAAATACACACACACACAACGTTTCAACTGCGTGAGTATCTAACCTAGTCATTTCCATTTTGGCTACAAAAAGGGTAGTTTTTAAAAGCTGAAAACAAAATATTGCCAGACGTTCTGGTTTTTGAGGGCAGGGAGAGTTTCTTCTTTCAATTTGGTGTTTGGAAGCTTCCATGCTATGAGATTCCTGTTGTCTTGGTTCCCTCAATTGCTTTTATCCCCATTTTTTATTTTAAAAGCTCATTTTTTGTGTCCTATAGTCAAACCACTCAAATCTTGACTGGGAGACAAATAAATCCATAGAGAAAACTAGCTGAGAAACCCAGTAATAAGGCAAAAGGAAAGACACAAGGATGAAGAACCATGTGAAAATGTGTCTTCACTGTTCAAAAACGGAAGGGGGGGATTTTTTTTCATGTAATTTCAAATCAACTTATCAGGTGTGAATCAGTATATTTTTATGTCAAGACATGTGTGCATTTAATTCAAAGCTCTTTATATCATGCTCAGAGAGGGGGGGGGGGGCAGAAAGCACTGACTCCCTTGTTTTGACTAAAAAATCCCATCCTACAGAACAGTGTCTGACATATAGCATTCTTACATCAGGCATAAATATAATCAGCCCAAGACATCTAGAAACACAGTATAATTATCCCATTGACAGAAGAACCTGGGATTCCCCCAGTAAATGGTGCTTTAATGCCTGGAGCAGGATATTCCATTTGCTAGCCGCCATCTGGAAAAGGAAAAATATTTCCTACTTTTGTTTAAAGAACTTTGGTAACCTGTCGCACTTCTCTTTAAACACTCTGGCAGTTCACATGCACTTAACTGTGATACTTAACTATATTGTCATGCAAAGTAAAGGGCAGCAGACTTTGCTGACAAGGTAACTACGAGCTACCTTGTACACAAGAAAAACTGCATATTTTGCAGTATATCCAAGCTCACAAAACTTGTCTCCCTGACAAATGACCAAGAAGAAAACTGTCTCACCTGTCCAGTCGCTAACTCTGAGTATTGTGCAGGAGGTGTAAGGTAGAATACCTGGCAGTAATTTGACTGCCATTTGCCAAGGTGGCTTGTACTGGTTTGCTCTCTCAAATATGAAAGTAAAATATCAACTTGCCACCAAGATAAGCATGCAAATATTTTTTTGGCGCTAATGGAAGTTTGAAAATGGAAATATTTTTGCTAAACTGACATAACAGGAACAATATCCTCATTGCTGCTGGTTTGATGATCTTTTGTATGCGATTGTTGACTGTTGTTATTATTGTTAGTCTTTTGTATGTTTTATTGTTGACTGTTATTATTGTTGCTAATCTTTTGTATGTTTTGATGACACAGTATTTATTCTAGTGTGTAAGTCTCCTTAAGTCTTAGTTTTGCAAAAAAGACAGGCTATAAATAATATAAATATTATTTATAAATATAAATGACGTATCTTTATAACATACAAAGGACTGACATCAAAAGAATATGAAACCATTAATTAAAACTTTAAAACAATTTAAAACATACAATTTAAATGTGAAAAATAAAAAGTAGCACAATCAATATAATAAAAGCAACTACTTCAAAACCCCTTCATGAAAACAGAATTGTCATAGGACTGTCAATTTATTTATTTTTTATTTTTAGAGGGGACTTTGCGTGCCGATGGAAGACCAGCAAGGAAGAGGCCATTCTAGGTTCCCTAAAAAGGAAGGACCAAATTCCAGGGCTAAGGTAGGCAACTGTGGAGGCTGGGGAGGGGGCGGGTGTTGTTCCTCATAGAGGTATAAGGACAAACCCACTGCATTTTGATTCAGCTGTTTTGAGGAGCAGAAAATTTGTTGAAAATTTTTGAGGGGATGGGAGCTCTCTGTTGTCCAGGCCCAATCTCACATCCCTACCAGCCAGAGCTTGGTCTATCATGATCACATCCTCAAATTCAGTCTGTCCTGATCATATGCACAAATGGAAATGGAGAAGAATCCAATATTGGGTAAGTTGGAGCTAAAGTTAGATCTGTTACATGATTTTATCTTGGACCAAATCTGGGTGATTTTTATCTGCAAAGTCTCCCACAAATTCTTCACAGTTGGCTGTTGAGTGTTTTTCATCTCTTTCCGAGGCCCAGAATGTTATAGACCTCAGACTGCTCACAGCTGGACATATCCCTGCAGAAGCTATGGTGACGCAAAAATAATTTGGTTGCTGCCACACTACCATGAAGTTGACTTTCATATAGACTTTCGTCTGCTTTGTGTTTCCAGATCTTCTTCCAATATCTCCCTCATTTTTGCCTCACTTGTTTCATCACCAGCAGATCCTTGAAAAACTTGGATTCTGGTTTGGTTCTGCTATCAAAGGGAAACCTCAGAAGTTACAAAATGTCCTTTTCCCATTTCAAAGATCAATTAGGCTTTTGACAGAATCATCTGCTAAATAGACAAGTGTAATTGAGAAGTCCACAGAGTTTTTCTGCCTACACATGAGGAGTGTCTTTAAAAATTACTTCTAATTAAGCAGATAAAAATTACAATTTGCGTACAATACAATTTAAAGTTTACAAGATGTTAAACCACTATGGCTACTAGTTCTACTCTTGCTACTATCCTCTGTCAGACAAGTCATGTAGTCCTTTTAACTGCGTTAGTATAGTAGCTGGTTTTCAATCCCAAGCAAACCCATTTCAAATGCATTATCACCTGAGGAGGGGAAATTAACTTACCTTCAGCAGACAGTCCCTGTATGTTTATTCCTTTGGCAGCCAAGAAACTCAGGCACGCGTCTATGTTTTCAATCTTAAACCGAAAGAAAAAGAGAGTTATATGAAAATTCATCACAATCATATTTTGGCTGCATGTGACTGTACATGTAAAACTGGCTTTTCAATCTATGTCAACCTCCTCACATATTAGGTGGAATCTATGTTTATACAGCATAGTTTTTCCTCCCCCCCCACCCCCATTTTCTAAATTTCCTCTATTTTTCTGAGGTTATGGCATGAGGAAAGAGGTATCTGTTCTGTGGACAGGTTTGGTTCAGGTGTCTATCACTCCAATCCTCCACTTGGCCAAACACGCTAGATGCGTTTTCCAACATGGCTTTTTTCCTGAAAAGTACATAACATTCTACTTATCTCTGCCTGGATCAGCATACCAAATAAGATTCACATCCCTGTTGTAATAATAAATTGATCAGAGTTATCAATCCTTATGTTGTACTGCTTATTGCTGCGTCTAAGGTGATCTTAAGCACAACTAGAAAGTGGCTTTCATGACATGGATAAAATTACCTGAACCACATTATGAGCTCCTGGTTTTTAAAATATGGCTTCCCATGGAATCAGAGGCTATTTTTACTCCCAGATGAAAAATGGCATTGCTAGAATGGAATCAAATATAACCTAACAACATTTCTTCTAACTGCTGGCTGAAAATAAACAGGGGCATCCCATTTGTTTGATGTGAAAAGCTGGACAGCTGGCAGAAATTTCCAACCAAAGAGCCAGTAGAATCCAAGAAAGGAAACTAGAAACCTCAACTAGAATCCAGGGTATGTTTACTCACATAATTCTCTAGATGTTGTGAATAGCAGCTGATTACTCAGAATGACTGTTGTTTCACTCATGGGCCTTTTTCATATCTTAAATAAATGAAACTGAAATAATTAGAAAATGGACTAGGTGGGATTTTGGGATGCTCTTCATGATATCCAAAAGATCAGGACAGTTGCCCATTTTCCTACAGAAAATAACAGAAGTATCTATGTTTGTTTATTGAGGAGTAATATTTTTTCATAATGTGAAGTGACTCATAATGCAATTGCACATTTAGTTAGTCCTTCATGTTGATATACAAAATATTGATTTTCATTGTTTAAAAAAGGATATCTTTGGTTATAGTGTAGAAACATGGGAAGAAACCAGATGTAGAAAAGATGATGATTTTTTTTCTTGATATCTCAACAAGCCATATTTTAGCCTAAAAGTATTTTATGGTCTTCAAGGGATTACCACTTTTAAATCAACTTGTAAGGAGTCTAAAAAGAGTCTCTTGAAACCTATGTCTAGCAACTCCCAACCCATTTTAAAGTCTTCATGTTCAAAATAATAACAGTAAAACTAAAGAATTTATCCTAGTCCAATCTTGTTGTGCTAGTTACTTACTTATTTGACAAATGCATTTATACAGTAAATTGCTTCCCCAATATGTACCATCACAAAGAACCCTACAGACAGTAAAAGCTTTGGACACAGGAAATTAATCCAAGCTTCATAGTATGGGATCAAAAAAACAGATACTAAGTTTCTCTGGTTTCAGCTGGGGTCCAAATTCCTTTCATAATCTACACAAAAATATTAAACTAAATATCCACATTTCACCCTCAAATAGCTCGGTGTTTATCTGTATATTTTTGTGTATAAGTGTGTAGGCATGCACACAGATTTCAATTTGACCATGCAAGATTGATACTTTAAAAGAGAGATGACAAATTATTGCCATTTAATATATGTTTCTTTGTTGGCTAGACCCAAAACTATATTTGGTAAAAATTCAATTTAACAGAAACTAGCCTTCTTAAGATGTGCTTACAGGCTTATAAAAGCAACCAATGAAGATTTGTACTGGGACAAGTATAAGCTATAAAATATTTCTAGCTTTGTAAGTATGTCTGGCAAATATCACCAATCACAGCAGAAAAATAGATTTAAGGACATTTTATGCAGACTCTTCTTGGCCTTCAGAGCTACCACTATTTGTACCGCGTTGAAAATTCAAATTCAGACACTCTATATCAAAAATGTAGACGTTAAATATTTGTTACATATAGGTCCAAATTATGACATGATCCAAACACTCTATCCACAGGGGAATCAGAAATTGCTGATAAACAGCAGCATGCTAGTACTTCTTCATTAGGACTAAGAATCCTGAGGTCTTCCAGGAGTTGTTGGACTAATTCTTAGCAGACATTAACCAGAAAAGTCAATGTTAAAGAATGCTGGGAATTATAGAACAACAGCAAATGGAGAACTGCATGATTCCATATTCTTAGGAGTGTCTCAACCAGTGATAATTATGTAATTGTGACCTGTAGTTCTCTATGAAAAATATGTACTCTAAACCCATCAGTCTCTCCCTTGTCCTACCAAATGTCCAAGATGTAACATTAGGACCCAGATAAAGCAATCTCTCAAGAATCTGAGACTGGTCAGAAGCAATGAAAAGCTAGAATGGTATGCCAAAAATCCTGACTGATCTATCTGACTATTGAAACATCACAGAACTATGTAGCAGAACTGTCAGGTCAACCTCACCTCCCATATTTCTGAGGCCATTCCTGCATTTGAATTTATCCACTGTGTTGAAATGCAGAGGGAACCACCCACTGAAGTCCATCTTCTGGGATGGCCATCCAGCTCATGCCCTTTCTTTGTTCCACACCACCCCCACCAGTCTATCCCAATTTTCTTCCATTTTCTTCTGTTTCAGGCACTGCAGAAACAGAATCCTATTTAGTCCCACTGGAAATGCCCTTACGTCATGTGATGCCTCCATGGGACTCTGCTTTTGAAGCGTATAGAAAAAAGAACCCAAATTGTGTTTTATGAAGTCCCTATAATTATTTAAATTCTGACCAAACAGGGCCTAAATTCATAAGGGGCAATCTATATCAAAGTCAATTCACAGGAAATAATAATAATAATAATAATAATAATAATAATAATAATAAGTTAAAAAACAAAGTATGGCTCCCCAGGTGACAGCAGGATTGAAGAGAAACAACTGGAAAAGCTGACACGATATGAAGATTTAAAGATTGAACTGCAAAGACTCTCGCACAAGCCAGTCAAGGTGATCCCAGTGGTGATCAGCACACTGGGTGCAGTGCCTAAAGACCTTGGCCTGCACTTAAACACAATTAGTGCTGACAAAATTAACATCTGCCAGTTGCAGAAGGCCACCTGAGTGGGGTCTGCATGCATGATTCACCGATACATCACACAGTCCTAGACACTTGGGAAGTGTCCGAGGTGTGATCCAATACAACAGCCAGCAGAGTGATCTTGTCTGCTGTGGACTCATCTTCTTGTGTTTCTAATAATAATAATAATAATAATAATAATAATAATAATAATAATAATAATAATAATAATTTATTTCTAAACCACACTCTCTCCACAGAAGGACTCAGGGCTGTTTACATGTAAAAAGGCAAGCACCCAATACCTCAAAATAATAATACAGAATAATGAAGAGTAACAACAGAAAACTTGCAAGGAATTAAGCATCGAAATAAAATAAAAGCAAAAACTATCCATTAAGACAGGGGTCCTCAAACTAAGGCCCAGGGGCCAGATGTGGCCCTCCAAGGTCATTTACCCGGCCCTCGCTCAGGGTCAATCTAAGTCTGAAATGACTTGAAAGTACACAACAACAACAATCCTATCTCATCAGCCAAAAGCAGGCCCACACTGAAATACTAATAAGTTTATCCTTGTTAAAATTGTTCTTTTTAATTATTTTAATTATTTTAATTTTAATTATTGTATTATTTTAAAGTGTTTTTGCACTACAAATAAGATATGTGCACTGTGGATAGGAATTCATTCATGTTTTTTTCAAATTGTAATCCAGCCCTCCAACAGTTTGGGGGACTGTGATCTGGCCCTCTGTTTAAAAAGTTTGGGGACCCCTGCATTAAGACATAAAAATATAACAGAATTGACAGTGACCATGTAATGGTTGTTTAACTAATGAGACAACTAATTAGCTGTGTAACTAATGTGACCCTTGCGGAAGACTCAACTGCAGAAAATGTACAACTTAGAAAAATGCTTTATTGAATATATATATATATATATATATAATCTTGATTCATGAACCACAGTTAAGCTGGAGGCTAAGATTAAAAAGCAATCAATGTTGATTCAAGTTTTACCATTAAATGTAGTAGCCTCTAAATAAGGTCTATTGTATCCACTGTCCTCTTAAATTCTATTTTTGTATCTCTCTCAATGATCAGAACCTAACTATTAGCATCACATTACTTTCTGGAAAACTGTTTTACTTCATAACATTTGAGTGGAGTCCCCAAATATTTTACAAATCACAAAAGGGCAGGGCATCAGTGAATGTTTGCTCTGTATCTTAGAGACAGGAAAAATACCATCTGTTGTGGCAGTTGTCATGGTATCATTTCCCTAGGAATACCCAACACAACAAGTTCATGTAAATTATGGGGAGACCAACTGCTGCCTCAGGCAAACACAACAGCATTTAGTGCAAAACAATGGTAATGAAAATTACAAACGACATAAAACAGAACTGTTAACATAAAACTGTACTAGTTGGTGCCCAAAGTATTTGTTCTAAATGTTTACCTTTTAATAAATGACAACCACTAAAATCATTAAAACAGCAGGACAGTGGCCAGCAAATTTCTTCACATTTATTTTCTGAAACATTCTTAGGACTTTAAAAAAACAACACTATATAACACTTCAAGTACTATTTACAGCAAACAACATGACTCAGATGTCAGAAATTGTCATCTCCAAACACAGCCTCTTAAAAATGTTTAGTGTTGTATTGACAGCTTCCACCAACCAGTTTGGAAAAAAAGGTACTGTCATGGAGAATGTCCTGTTATCTCACTGCCTGATGTCAGTGACTCTCAAGCCAAGACTACCCCTGGTGTCTTGACTTCAAGCAGAGTCATGGAGGCACAGAATCATATAGTTAAGCAGTTGGAATGGGGCCCATGAGATCCCTTACTCAATGCAGGAAGTTCATAT